GTGTTAGACTGTCAACATTTTACTCCGCTCAGTTTCCATCAGTGTGATCATTTGCTCTGATTGGGCCATTTTTGTGCAGATTCAAGCAATGCATTGTGGCTATGGCCCGGTGGATCTGATTGGCTGTTTGCAAATCCAGGAGAGAAAATTATCAGTGACTGCAAAAACTGGTAAACAGCTGATTCTTATTTTGTTTTAATTCACTCTTAATGTTCGAATAGCACATAATCGTTTTTCCCGACCTAATCTCAGCTCGTGCGAGGCTGGAGTCCTGCAGTGTCAGTCTGTCCCCGGCTGCCATGTCGACGGTGGCTGGAGCCAATGGGGAGCCTGGACTGAATGCTCTCTTTCATGTGGCGGTGGAGTCAAGTTCAGAAGACGCCTGTGTGATAATCCGTCTCCGCAGAGCGGCGGGAGAGGCTGCCTGGGTGATGCTGAGCAGCAGAGAGACTGCAACACGCACCTGTGCACAGGTATCATGACGGGCTCATCTAGGTGTTTTACACCACCATCTGCATTGGCACATGTGTGATGTCTGTCTGTATTGTGTCTCCAGAGTCAGTGGGCCCGTGGTTGCCGTGGTCTCAGTGGTCTGAGTGCTCGGTCAGCTGCGGTGGAGGGCAGCAGTACCACTCTCACGTCTGCAGCTCTCCAGCGTGCAGCGGCCTCAGTCGTCAGAGCAAGATCTGCAACACCCACGTCTGCCTCGGTCTGCTTCCTGTGCAGTATTTGTAGCCATGCCTGCAAAGTTATATTTATACTGAGACGTTTAACGAAGCTCCAGTTGGAGGACTGTTTAATTAGTGTCTTTAACTGCTGTTGCTGTGTGGGCTTCATGTCGCTCTGCAGAGGTGGGCTGCCCTCCTGGCCGGCTGTACAGGGAGTGTGAACGAGGAGAAGGTTGTCCTTTCAGCTGCGCTCAGGTCAGCGGCAGGGAGGGATGCTACGCTGACGGCTGCGAGGAAGGCTGCCACTGTCCCGTGCACACCTACCAGCACCGTGGACTCTGCTTATCGGTGGGTTCAGAGTAACGTCAGTAGTAGACGTGCAGCACAGAAAATGAAGAGCATGAACCAGGCTGTGATGCATCACTGAGGAGATCATTTCAAAGCAGTTTCTTTTCTTTAAAGGGTGTTTGTGTTCGGTGTGTTTCAGGAGTGTCCGTGTCTGGTGGATAAAGAGCTGCTGGCCTCTCTGCAGAGCGTCTCCGTGACACCAGTCGCATCCCTGCTTTTTCATAACATCTCAGAGGATGTGGAGCTCCAGTCTGGAGATACGTTTGTCCATGACTGCAGCGCCTGGTAAGCAGTCGTGACATCCCGTTCAGGATTGTGGGGGGAGCTATCAAAGTGGGAAAGGTGGGCTGCACCGTGGACAGGTCGAAGGTATCCATGGAAATCACTGCAAAGCCGTTATCACAGGAATGACACCGTTGTCATTTAAGATGGACTGTTGAGAGTTGAGAGCAAAATTTTATGGCTTCATCCAGATCTGACTGAGTCATTAATTCTGAACAGTTGGTGCTGGTTTTATACAAACCTGCTGATATCCAGACAGCCCATTTTTCAGGGCAGGCCTTTCTTCTTATTAGGAAAGATAACGCCAAAGCACAGGATGGATGCATTCCAGCACTGTGGCTCTGTAATTAAAGACTTCCAGTGTTAAATTGGCCTGTCCACAGTCCACCGGTCCCACTTTGAGAACATCTACCACAGTGTACAGCTACAACCTGAACTGGTGCGCAGCTACAATCCTG